TTAATTGATTTACAAGAAATAACCTAAATCAAATATAATTACGCGGAACCTGCATTTGCTATATCTATCCCGTACTTCCTATGTTTTTTTCCTGTTGTCCCACATTATTATGAAAACTGCTTGGAAAATTAAAAAATGACATACTCACCAACAAGATATCAAATTCAACAAAATAGGTATCTTCTCGTTTTTTGATTGGGGTAAGGTTATTAGTACAACATTTTTTCGTTATTTTTGTTCACAAAAAAAAAAAAAACAACATAGTAAATTCAATTCATTATCTTCGCTCCATTCAGAATCTAATATGAGTATTTTGCTAACAATTTCCAATATTTAGATTATTTTTTGTATACGATTATTTTATTATTATTTTAAATGATAATTTTTTATTGCCTTCCTATCTATTGTTATTTTTTTGTGTACAATTAATCCAAAATAATTAATTTATATAATATAATATTTGCATACACGGTAATTGGTTTAACGAACAATAGTCATTGTATCGCAAAGCGTGTTGATATTTGACATTTTAAAATACAAATAGCACTAAAATTTTAAATTATTATTCATTTTTGTCACCCTTATTTTATTATGACTAATCACTTTTTATTTTAAAATGAAAACCTATATATATATTTTATGCGTAAAAGTAAAATCTGGCAAATCTCAGAAATGCCCGGGCAAAACGTCATAATTCGAATTTTGCTCGGGCATACCTAGTTGTGACCAGCCACATTCGGGCAAATCTGTAACGTCCATAAATTAATTTTATAAATTTTATTAAATAAATAAATAAAATAAATCTTACAATAAATGTATCTATGGTTTTGCCCAAATTTTTATTTTATATTGTCACTATATATCAAAAATCAGATATTTCCGTGTAAGGACCAATTGATTACTAAGGGGAGCGTGTATTGTAGTATTATTAATGGTAGAGTATTGTAATACAATCCATTCGCGATACAACGAAGCTCGGTGTAACGAAAATCTCGATAAAATGAATGAAACTGTCGGTCACCTGAAAATCGCATGATATTACGAAGAATTTTTGTCCCTTTTTCCTATTCCTTTGTCCTACTTTTTGGAATCTATATTAAAAGTTCTATAAATAGACGGAGTATTACTTTTAATACATTTTGGTACTAAAATTGTTGATTTCCGTCGACTCGTTGACAAAATATTTCACTTTTAAGTTTATATGTAGGGTGGACTAGTAACTATTATCTAAGTATTCGAAAACATCGGCTTTAACTATACTTAAAAATTTCGAAAATCAGAATTTGAATACATGCAATATTTAACCAAAAAATGCGTGAGCACACTTAGTGAATCACTCTGTATATTAAAATGCCCATGAATAGACGGAGTATTAATTTAAATACATTTTGGTGTTGAAAATAATCGAATACGGTGTATAACCTTGAAAATAACCTGTCGGTCGTAGATATAACTGCTCTCCTATACGGGATTTGCGCAATTTTAAAATTATTAGCATCAATTATTTAAACGTGGAAAATGTATCAGAGTGGCTATTGATTTTGTCGAACAGACAAAGAAAATCGCCGTCGACCAATTAGCGGTACTGAAACGGATTTCGAGTGAAGTAAACGAAACACATTTCGCTTATAATATATTATTATATGTGAACTAACATAATAATTAATTTTTGGTTTCTGATTCACTAATGGTATTCCCTTACAGATTTAAAAGAATAGTTGAAATAATGTTCAGTCGATAATCATATATGAATTTATTGATCAATGATCAACAAGCTGCAGATACAACTCAAAGAACATGACGGATCAAGATAGTAAACACCTGTTCGTTTTTTTTATACTCGTATATTAAGGCGTACATTTATTTTTGGATGTCGATTTACAATCACCACCACCAACCAAGCTATTCATCGGTATTCGACCATTCCCAGAAATTGTGACCAGAATATTCACTACATCTCATAAAGGATGTAAACGAAAATCCTCAATATTAGAAACAGCTGCAATCCTCGACTTCGGAGATGATGGCAAATAATATAGCCTATTACGCCAGAAACAAAATCCTTAATAATAATCAGGTGCGTAATTCGGGCTAGGTTTTTTTTTTGGGGGGGGGGGTAAAGGGGAAGGTGTGGATAAATTATTATTTAACAATTGTCTACTTACCTATTATCTAAGATATATTTCAAGAGGAGGAATACTAGGGGTTAAAGAAAAATGGTAATCGCATGTATAATATGTTTTATAGATAGAATAATGGATTATAAATTTTAATAACAAAAAATTGGACAATTTTTAAAAACAGAAATACTCTTCTTAGTTACAGATCCAATTTATTTAGTACGTTCTATATGGATTTATCATACAATTTCTATGGCCTACCAGTAAAGTCAGTTACGCACACAGAAGAAAGGGGTGTCAAAACACCCCCCAAACCCCGAAATGATTTCATTCACTAATTTTTTTTAAATCAAAATAATGAAATTTAATTTCACCTAGAATAATATAAATATTTAATTATAACTCGTAATAGTGATAGTAGGTATTGTACTGATAAAATGTGTTCTCCCTCTCTAGGAAATTATTATATGCGCAACCCCAGAACGGAAAAAAACCCTGCGTGAGCCCCTAGATAAATAGCCTATTCATTTAACAGATTCTAATGAACAAAATATTTAGTTATTAGGTGAGTACGTAATACTAATGTAAGTACGTTTTTATAATAACTGTATAGTATTATTGTAATTTTATCGTAATATTCCTCTGACATTTTAAGTCAAAAGTAATTTTTAACAATAAACCCATAGATACCAATTAAGGTTTTGAACATATTTGTGGTATCTAACCATACAAATAAAAATTTATTTTTGGATTTTGAACGAAGCGAGTAATGTATTGGTTTTACTATGATGTTTTTATTTTTCGTTTTTTATAGTGTGTATGAAAATTCTACCAAAACTATTGCACAAAAGTATCAATTAGAACCACTTTTCTAAAAGAATATTTTCAAAGGTGGTATTTAAGGAAGGTCATTTATTGATTTTTCTAAGAAGATTACCAGTAAATTCGAAAAACCAAGAAAAAACGTACGAAAACGGGGAAAATTTACGAAAATAATGCTTTTATTATTTTCAATTTGGTTTTTTATTGTAATTCAGTGAACAAAATTCGTAAAGACTTAAAATTTTAAAAATAGAAGATTTAATTCTAATGCAAATAATTTAGCTAATATTCCAACTCAGCTAATGGAGAGGATTGAATATTTAAACATGAAATTAATGAACACCAATATAAATATCTAATAGAATAAGACTTGTAAGAAATTGAGTCGTTCCAAAATACATCAAAATACATAACCAATGTACTTTTGAAGCTGCAACCAAAGTCCACATATAAAAAATTAATAAAACATGGATTCTGNATGATTTCCCTTGACTTCAATAGGCGTATATATATATTCATTCCTAAACACGAAACAATTTTTTTAAATAAACAAGAACGATAAAAATTAGATAGTAAATATTAACCAAATAATTTATATTTATTAAAATATCTGTGTATAATAATAACCTAATTTAAATAATCTCACCTATTTAAATAAATAATTTATATGAATAATGACCAATTTGAATATTTTTTATTCAACGTAATCCCTCATTTAAATTTTTATATTCGGTCGCGTTTTATATTTCGACTGTGATATTCATGATAATAAATTTTAAATTCGAAATCAGTCGTATAATACACATATCGTAATACTCGTGGCGACGTATTCATTAATTAATCAATTCTTTATTTTTATATGTACATGTTTTATTTACATCTTTATTTACGAGTTTGAGTCATTTTAATCATTATTGTTTTAAATATACTAAAAAGTAAAAGAGTGTACACGTGAAATAAGGAGCAAGGGTTTCAACACCAATTTACTTTTTATTTCCAAATTAATAAATAATTTTATTTTTAATAGTACCCGTGGATGTAATAGATAGGTAATTTGATTTATACAGTAAGTATATAAACAAAAGTTGATCAGAAAATGACGAAACAGTTATTTATTATATTCGCATACGTAGTTAAAAATTATAGTAATAGATAATAAGTGCTTACAATAAAACAACTATAGTAATGAAGCTGTCTAATACAATTTAATTTTAAGTATACAATATAAAATAATAAAGAAAAAGACGATGATCCCCTCGACGAATATGCCCATCGATTTCGCGTCTTGGCAGCCCGATACACAGTGACGATTACTGAATAGACGTAGTGAATTCCCTATAGAAACACGAGTAGCGGGTATGACCGATTACAAACTCTGTAGTGATTGACATTATTTGCGTCTAGGCGGATGTTCATAGCGGTTGCCACTGCGTTCGATTTGCTACAGGTCGTCGCCGTGTCTTCCGCCGTCGTCCGTTGGAGTCTCCGAATCCGCTGGCGTGGCGTTTTACAATCGACGGTCGGGTGTGATAGTAAAACCGGCAGCAAACACTGTACGCGTAACCCCGGACGTCAACCGGCGTCTTTTGTCACTTTAAGTACTATGTGTCCCATATGTAATACATTTCGCACTCTGTGTCGTGTACATGATGACGACACACCCTCATTGCTGTGTCACGATTTAAAAGAGGCTAAACGAGGGCAATTTATCATAAACGTCATTGAATGCGAGAGTAAATACGTATTACGCATATAAATATCCCCGAAAAAGACATTGGTTCTAGAAAAGAAATCGCCACAACAAACCACCGGAAAAGAATACCCCTAGAAAACAAATCCCTGCAAATAAATCCCCAAAGCAATTACACCGTCAAAATCATAGGTATAAAAAATATTTGAAAATACTATATTTTGAACACCTCCATTTTATAAATAATTTGCAATCGTTTTACAAATCGATTACCTGATGTTTCCTTTGTAATTCATAAAAAACATCCGGATGACAATTATTAGACGATAATATATATGCATATAAATAAAATTTAAGTTATTATGTCTGGACATTTTTTTAAACATTATTATTATTTATAGTATAGTAGTTGAATTGGGAATTTTCATGGATTTGTTTACTAGAGTGATTTTTTTCCGATGATCTTTCGATGGTGATTCACTTTTCTAGAAAAGCCTTTTTCGGACTACCTTGATATATATGTACAGAACAGTTTTTCGAAAAGACGTACACATTGAACAACAGTTTTATAGTGACAAAAATTACGTCGGTGACTTCCACGGTTTCGCGATCTAAGTGTAACTGACCTTAACCGGCCGATCGCAGACTATATAGCGCGAGATGTAGCGTGATCGTGGTAAATGACTTAGCGACGGGCCACACAGCGGTCTGAATCTTAATTAAGCTTGTATAAAATTCAATAAAAATAGCGTTTTCTAATTTATTATTAACTAATATATCAATTAAGAAACTAATATGAATTTCGGGTTCAGCGTCCTCNTTTAAATGTAAAGGTAATTAATTAAGGTATGATAAATTACGAATAAGACTAGTGTGGGCTGTCGGAAAGCCAACAAAATATCAATCCCACTGCGGTAAATCCACCTGACGCATCCGTGCTCGTCGTCCATGGCATAAATGTCGACGGTCTTTACAACGGTTCTAATAGAAGGATGAATAATGCGTTCATATAACCCTAGACGTCGAAAATGATAATCAGACGACGGAGTGTCACTAAAGACAATAACGGCTGAGTCGCAAATAGACGAAGTTCAACAGGCCNCTAATATATCAATTAAGAAACTAATATGAATTTCGGGTTCAGCGTCCTAGAAGCCAACATGTTTGGTGTATCACACTATCATATTAGTTTAAATGTAAAGGTAATTAATTAAGGTATGATAAATTACGAATAAGACTACTGTGGGCTGTCGGAGAGCCAACAAAATATCAATCCCACTGCGGTAAATCCACCTGACGCATCCGTGCTCGTCCTCCATGGCATAAATGTCGACGGTCTTTACAAAGGATCTATTAGAAGGATGAAAAATGCGTCCATACAACCCTAGACGTCGAAAATGATAACCAGACGACGGAGTGTCACTAAAGACAATAACGGCTGAGTCGCAAATAGACGAAGTTCAACAGGCCCAAAACTGAGAAACCAAACTTATCACCCAGAAATTACCGCTGCATAATTCTGAAGCCTCATGCTACATGGTATATCACAAAACCCCTCATGGCTATATATTTTGATGCTGATGTCACTGCACACAAGAATGTACCTGTGGATAATAAGAAAATACGATTGACAATTATATGGTGTTATTGATTGGTTAGCGGTTATTATTATAATATGCATACATATCTACGTAGAATAACGATGGACAAGCTCGGCGATAGGCGATTGGCTGACTGGAAACTTCCTACTTCCGTCTACCTTTGCGTTCTCTCTTCTTCGCCGTCCATTCCAGCCCATTAAAGATCTAGAGCTGTATGCTGCGAGTCTCCTAATAAATACGCTTGCTTCAGTAGATCTGTCATCTGATGTCAGTGATTATGTCGTCGGATCACCAGGGCGAACGATTCACCAAGCTTGAACGAATAGGAAATTTATATATGTATAAATATTTCATGGTATTGCGAGTTCTTATGGTTGTCTAGTTTCCAGAACACTATGGTTGCACATTGAACTAGAATACTGTTTCGATCGAAGCTTTTCATGAAGAATAAAATTGTAACGCCTAATAAAACAGGTTTTCTTAGTCAGTATAAGTACACAGTCCCACAAGAAAACGCAATTCGCTTACGCATCAAAATGAACGAGCTCCGCTCTTTCGTAGTAAACCGCCCGGTTCCATTATTTCTTGTGCTGGATATAGTTCGGTGGTCGGGATAAGGACTGGTAAACTGAAAATAAAAAAAAGAGTTAAAGCTACTGATATTTCTTACCAATAATTAGGCAATGCCATCTTAAGATTAAGATTATCTACAGGCTCTATTGCTAGCTGTTAAGTATAAGTTAATGTTTCGGCTAGTTGTAATAACAGTTATATAGTGTATAACAAATTACCGAAAGCCAACGATCTCCGTAATATACGACATAATCAGTTTAGGCCTATATGAGTCTAGTAATATTTATTGTCAACTTGTATTACAAATAAAATGTTTGTCGGTAGAAGTAAAAACAGCACATATTTTTT